ACCTGTTAAGCCAGAGAGACCCCGGTACCGGGGCACTGCCGCAACATCTTGCAGGAAACAGTGTCTGAGGGCATGTTCATTCATCCAGCGAAAAATGCTAACAGATGACCGAAATTCACTCACAAAACCTTATTATTTATCTTTGCTGCACATCCAACACATCTCACATCGTGAGGTGACACAGAATCGAAGGGTACCCTTAATTATCACTCAATTATAAGAACTCGCGGACATAATAACAAGAACAGACATCAAAACATATGGCGCTAGGTAGCTAAAAACGCTAACATGGCTCACCTGTGTCGTAGTCTGGTCAAAAGTGGTCTTCAATGGCAAAACGGTAAAAACGCTGCTAAAGTTAATCCATAGGTTAATCCAATGTGTCTGTGTCCCTTTGAAATTATTTCTGATAATCCATGAGCAATAAACCTGCTTTTCGGTTTTCAGATGTCAGAGCTAGACAGCTTCACTCTCATGCAAAACTGCGTGCGCAAAGCCCCCACCTTTTTTGTTTTACCATGTGTGTGTGTGGGGAGATTCCCCTTCGATTCTATTGGCTCTAACGGTCAGAAAGAGATGTCAATCACCAAAATCGACCAATGGGTTCCAGAGAAACGGTAAAAACCCCATTTCCACCCAAATCACCTCAGAGGTGGAGTTTTTTTTGCTAATCCTCTCTAAAAAGGTCAGATGTCACTTGTTTTGCATCAATCTTGATACAGGGTACTTATTATATGTTGTACTTTGGATTCCTAAAGCTTTTAGTCTACCTTACCATCATCCAAGGGTAGTTTTCACTATAAGTAAAAAATCATTTTTGGACGGACACTATAATTTACAGTTTTTTACTATGTTCAATCTGAATTTTCTTTAAAATAAAAAACATCTATATTGATTCTGACTTTTCTACATCCAACTCACAGGTTTATCATTACTTTGAGAAAAAAGATTATTAATGTAACCCTTTTAGAAGGGAAGATATGTTCATTTGTTCTGGAAATGTCATTTTCGAGCCTGAGACCTGAAACACAGGGATGGGCCTCAACAGGTTGCAGCTGACTAAAACCAAGACTTTGAGAAACTAAATGGCAGATTAATTAAAACACTGTTCTTTAAACTCATTAATCTGTAACTTCCTCCCCCCCCTCTCTCTTTAGATCCACCTCCAGTTTCCCATGGAGTTTGAGTTCAGTCAGTACTACCTGAAGTTCTTGGCCTATCACTACGTCTCCAACCGCTTCCGCACCTTCCTGCTCGACTCGGACTACGAGCGCATCGAGCTGGGTAACACACTCCTCTGAGAGCTGTAGCTTCTTATGAATGACATATACAGTGTGTGTGTGATTCTGACAAGCCGTGTGTGTGTGTAGGAGTGCTATACGAGGAGAAGGGCGAGAGGAAAAGCCCTCAGGTGTGTAAGTCTGTGTGGGATTACATCGACAGACTCAACAAGAAAACACCCGTCTTCTACAACTACATGTTCTCTCCTGAAGACGACGAGGTGAGACACACAGACCTTCACATTTTAGAAGCATGGATACAAAGGACACTTGAAACATTATTTAGGTTTGATCTGGAGCTTGTTTGAGGTTATTGCTGCAGAAAGAGCTTTTACTAGTTATTCAATCCAAGGGTTCACTTTTTCTACATGTGTTCTCAAAGACATGACTTTAGAGTATTGTGTTTGCCGGTACTTGGGACTTAGATGAAGATCAGATCCCATTTTATGACCAATTCATGCTTAAAACCAGGAAAAGGATTAAAATGTGCAGTTTTTTGGGGTCAAATTGTAAAATCACTGAATATTTGAGCCTGTTTTAATTGAGAAATGATGTTTTCTGTTGTGTAAATGAGGTTTATTAACCATATGTTTAGAGTACAACTTGTAATAAGTCAGATTATGGTTTGCTTCAAATGTGAAACACAGATTTGGGTGATTATTCACACTGTATACTTTATGCTACGTAAGAGAGCGAGAGAGAGATAAGAGAGAGATGTAAGAGAGAGAGATAGGAGAGATAGAGATATGAGAGATAAAGAGAGAGAGAGAAAGAGATATGAGAGAGAGAGAGAGAGGGAGAGATATGAGAGAGAGAGGGAGAGATATGAGAGAGAGAGATATGAGAGAGAGAGAGAGAGAGAGAGGGAGAGATATGAGAGAGAGAGATATGGGAGAGAGAGAGAGATATGAGAGAGATATGGGAGAGAGATATGAGAGAGAGAGAGATATGAGAGAGAGAGAGAGAGATATGAGAGAGATATGGGAGAGAGATATGAGAGAGAGAGAGAGAGAGAGAGAGAGAGAGAGAGAGAGAGAGAGAGAGAGAGAGAGAGAGAGAGAGAGAGAGAGAGAGAGAGAGAGAGAGAGAGAGAGAGAGAGAGAGAGAGAGAGAGAGATATGAGAGCGAGATATGAGAGAGAGAGAGAGATATGAGAGAGAGAGAGAGATATGAGAGAGAGAGATATGAGAGAGAAAGAGATATGAGAGAGAGAGAGAGAT